CGCCGCGCCGCGCCCTTCTGCGAAACACCGAAAAACGGGAATAAACCCGCCGGGAAGAAGCTCCGGAGCGGCCAGGAAGGGCGCTGGGCGCGATATGAGTCGTCTGGCTGCGCGAGTCCTCCTTCTGCTGAGATATATATGCATGCATATATATTTATATTTAAATATACGTGCTTCGTATGTCACTGGCTGTGTGGGCAAGGATAGTTATCCCCTTGTTTGTTCCGTTTCAGGTATAAAGTGATGAAGAACTGGGGCGTTATAGGGGGGATCGCTGCCGCTCTTGCCGCGGGCATATATGTTCTCTGGGGTCCCATCACGGACAGAAGGAAACGCAGGAAAGGTAGGGAAATACCCTGATAGCTGTGGCGCACCGGAGAAAATGCGCGCTCGTGGGTCGGAGAAAGTGTTTTCCTCGTGTTTTCCAGAAAGCGTGAGAAGTATTTCATTGACTTCCATCTTCTATGCGTTTTTTTTCTTTTTTTTTTTTGGATTTCTTTTCAGCAGTCTCCTAGATTAGAAATGTTCTTAATTCTATTTTTTATTATTAGTTTCAGTAAAATCTTGTCTCTTACTAAATATAAAATTTTGGTCACTGTGTCCTCACACTGTATGTAACAAATTAATGAATTTGTATCAAATAAAGGACTTACGTTGCTTTTGTAATTTATTAATTGTATTGGCTGAATTAAAGAAAAATTAGATGTATTAGGCAGATTTTGTGTGTCTGTTTTGTGTTAAGCTCATTACTGAACTGCTGTGAATAGAAATAGAATAGAAATACTTATCCTTAAATAAGAAAACACTTATTTTGCTTTTCTATTTAACATTAGCACGAGATAAGTGAAAGTCTCTTGCTAAGCAAAGTTGCATAGAAATACCTTTTATTTACCCGTGATAACCCAAGGGTTTTCATAACAATATATTAGTCTCAGCAAAAGAAAAAACTTCACTGAACTGAGATGAAGTATGTAACAGTGCAGCAATGGCCCTCTTTAAACTTGCACAATAAGCCACCTTATGAGTTGGAAGTAAGAGAGTTACAGTTTTAAATCCCTGTTTGTACAGTAATTTTGAGATAATCCTGAACCTTGATGTTGGTAATGAAAATACATTCCTATCAGAAAAACATTTTTTAGAGAAAATTGAAAAAATATTTTACAATGATGTATTTCTCAGAAAGCACCATGTATATGAACACTTTATGTTGCGATAGTGTAAGTATGGGGATCTTTTAGTTTCTTAATGTGTGCAAGTCTAATATAAACTGAAACAATTTCTTAATGTCATTTCAATATATAACATAACACTTTCTCCTGAAAATAGTAATGTTTTCTTAGACTTTATGGTGTAAACTCTTACGTATATGTTTGCAGGGCTTGTACCTGGCCTTCTTAACTTAGGAAACACCTGTTTCATGAACTCTTTGCTGCAAGGCTTATCTGCATGTCCTTCTTTCATCAAGTGGCTGGAGGAATTTACAGCACAATACAAGACAGAGCAGAATCAGTCCACTGAGCATCAATACTTGTCCCTTACTTTGCTACATCTTCTAAGAGGTATTATATACTTGTAAGTTTTTCTTGTTAGGATAGACTTAGGAAAACACTTAGCATAAAAGTTATTGTTTCCAGCCTTGTTTCCTAAAGAAAGGAAGATCGTGTAGTCTTGCTGTCTTCTTTTTATTATTGTCCTCTGCGAACTCGGAACTCATTGGCCAGGTTCAAACAAATTTCACAGAAGAGTAGAGACCGAAAAGGTGTTAAGTTGCTGTCCCAAGCCTGAATAACATATGGCCCAGGACTGCGTGCGTCCCCAAAGCTGTTTGTTTCACTGGCCAGCAGCTGAAAGGTCTCAGGTTTTGTTTGACCTGCCAGGCAATCAAGCAGTGGGCAGACAACCAAGGATCGTGCACATTTGACAGCAGGTCAGACAAATCTGGCTAGAGGACAACAGGGGTGCTGAAAATGTGTTATGGTCCATGTTGCCACAAGAAGTCTGGCTTTACTGAGTCTGCTGTTCACCAAACGTTGCTGAAACATGAATTTGGATATAAAATTGAAGAAATTAGGACTACTATTACAACAATTAGATGGGGACTCAGAACCCTATGTAAAAGAAAATTAATGTATTATAATTTAACTTTAGCATTTTTTCCAAGCATGCTATTTTATAAAAAATATGGAATATCAAGTGAGATACTGTATATAATGTTGGATAAAGATACTAAAACCAGTAAGTCCAGTTTGGTAACCAGTTTCAAACTAGTCCCTGTGCTAAATTCATTTACCAGTTATATCCTATTTAAACGTTCAAAACGATAAAACAATTTGTTGGCTATCCCTGGCTTTCCTCAGAGGACTGTTTTTTGAAGGAAATTCATTGGAAGTTTTGGTGTCTCAGATATTGTTCATACTAAAAATTGTGCCAGTTAAACGTGTACTTTTAAATGAGGAAAGGCTGATGCTATTTTCATACCGGTGTTTCTGTGACATGTAAAGTACCTATTTTTATCCAATCCACTAGTAAAAATTTTTCTTTTCAGACAATGTTTGTATCTTTTACTCTCTTTGTATCACTTAGCTGAGACACCTTTCACTTAGTATTAGAACAATTTTTCTTGTAGAAGAACGTATACAGTCAGTTAATCTGTGTCAGATGAGAATGGTAATTTCTTAATACATACCAGTTTGATTGATTGTGATTGTCTAACTATACCTGTAGACCTGTCTTAACCAAGAATAACTCTGCTGCAATCAATTGCATTATGCCTAAGTAACCTAAAGCCCCAGATAAACAGATTTGTGTTCTAACTGTTCTTACTGGCTCCTTCTAACAGTTTAAAATGCAATGTCTCTAGCTTTATCTTGCCAAGAGGTAACAGAAGATGATGTCCTGGATGCAAGCTGCTTATTAGAAGTATTAAGAATGTACAGGTGGCAGATCTCATCGTTTGAAGAGCAGGTGATTACAGAATTCAAGTTAGACTGGCTGGTATACACCTCATTGCTTAGATACAGGATAACAGATAACTTTTGTAAGTTATGGTACTAATAGCTCCAAATGTCAAATCTGAATCTTCATTGCAGTGAAAAGTTTACTTGAAAAAGCGAGGGAAGAGCGCCGTGTGATTGATGAATTGTGTTATCAGTTTGCTTAGGTATTTGTCATGGAATCTGTGGCACCTTTAAAACCTCTTTCTTAATTGCCATCAGTTTTGGTGCAACGTAGCCAGTAATATTAAAATAAAAGGGGTACAGCCCTAACCTCATTATAGATTGTGGGTCTGTGCTGAAGTACTTTTCTCATTCTAGGGATGTACTCCGCTTCGTTAAGGTTTCAAAATTTAGCATACAAAATTTTTAGCTCTTGTTATTAGTATTTTCAGCCCCTACCTAAGTGCAGCTGGCTGATGAACTTGATCAATTGTCTCATTCATAAAATGTGGTTTTCTCTCTCCTTTATCTGTCAGAGGCAAAGCAAATAGCATTGATTTCAATTACATTGTCATTGAAATCAAGGAAAGCAGGCATTTGTGAATTCACTTTTCTTTTTTCTGCAATTATTTTGGTATCCTTTGAGTTTATATGGCCCAGAATATTTTAAATAATGTGTGTTGTTATAGGGCTTAGCTTTGCAGAGAAACTTTTTGGCAAAACTGCAGCAGGTGCACAAATAATTATTACTGCACAAACTGGGTTCTAAACAGTATTTTTTTCTTTAACTTCCTACTGCAGTGATAGATTCATATGTGCGTGCATACTCCTGAGATATGATGTCTTTTGATGTCTTTTGTTCTGGCTTCCTCTAAGTCTTATGCCTCTATTTAATAGGATGCTCATGAACTGTTTCATGTCCTTACTTCTTCATTAGAAGATGAACGGGAACGTCAGCCACGTGTCACACATTTGTTTGATGTGCATTCGCTGGAGGTAACCAATGTTATTTCCTTATCAGGAGTGTTTGCTTAAGTACTTGATAGTCTGCCTAGCTAAGTGTATAAAGTGTCTGTTTAGAAACTGAGGATACTTTCATTATGTTTACAAGGCTATTAGTATTCTGATAGAAATGAATCAATAGTCCTGGCAATCAAAGAATAAGAAAATGTTTGAAAGCAATTGTATTTTAATATTTTGTATTTATAGTGATCCCAGTTTCATGAGGGCTTTTGCATCCCTAAACCTATTGAATGTAGGGATTGCAATGCTGGCTCAGAACAGTAGTCCATGTAGGCAGTTATTCTCATTTATAAGCTTTGACACATGAAAAAGTTTGAAAACTGCAAAATGGACATTTATGGACTAGTCCATTCAGAGGTGAAGTTGTATCTTACCCCTCCAGTATTAGTGGACAACCTGATGCTGAAGGAAGGTTGATATGTCTTATATTTTTGGTGTAAAATATATAGAAAAAGTTTATGAAATCTGTATTTCAGTACTCTGAGCAGAGAATTCCACAGGTTAATTGCTCGTTTTATAAAAAATGTTATTTTTGTCAATTATCAGTTTGTTGTATCTCAAGGTTTTTTTGGCCTTCCTAAAATATAAAGCGATAAAGAGATACAACCCCCTTTCACAATTGTTCAAACGTCAGAAAAGCATATCAGGGATGAAATAAGAGCGTATTTAATACTAAAGGGTTTCTAAGGTGGGATTACTGAAATCTTTTATCTTCCTTTGTAGCAGCCAGAAATAACCCAAAAGCAAATAAGCTGCAGAACAAGAGGTAAGCTTTTTTCCATCCTGAAATATGACTATTTAGTTGTAGCATAGTCGCTTTGTCTGTTAATGGGATAATATTAATTGATCTTTGTTTTGATTGGACTCGAATGCATCTTCCACTATGAAATACCATTGATTGTCAATGGAACAGAATATGTTTTAGAGGTAGTTACTTTTGTTACTATTGGCCAAAAATGTGGAAGTATAGTGAAGAACACAGACGTATTGGGAAAAAAAAAAAAAAAGGACAATTGCAACTTTGTATTTCAGGTTCTCTTCCCCCTATGTCAAACCACTGGAAGTCTCAGCATCCTTTCCATGGAAGGCTGACAAGCAACATGGTTTGCAAACACTGTGAACACCAGGTATAAGAGTGCGTGTCTCATGATACATATACATGAAAACAAAAGGACGCCCAGTGCTCCGAGCACTGAGGTGAAACCATCTCACATAGTTGATTTACGCTCCAAGGGATTGCAGGACTGAGACTTCAGGCTGTTACTTAAGTACTTATTATAACATTAGTGAGGAACAAATGTGTATCACAAAATATACTGAAGAAAATTAATTGTGATCTACTTTGTGAGGATAGTAACTGCCTTATTAGACAGAATAATAACTGTCTTACTACGTCTGGTATTCAGTATGACGGAAGTCATATACTGAAAACTCACTCACATGGGTAGCATTTTAGGGCCAGCTATTCATTCAGTACTCAGTATTGAGATGGCAAACGCAAAGCCAAGTTAAGTTGCAGTCCAGTTATCCAGAGTAAGGAGATGCAGATAATGTGGATAAAGCAAAAATACAGAAAATAAATCTCATCAGTAGATCAAGCTATAAGGGTATGTTTAGTACTTTTACTTTCAAAAACTTGAAAACAGATTTAATAGCAGGGGTAGCTTCAGCAGAAGCAGGCAGAGTAGCAGCTTCTATTCTACATTGAGCATTCCCTGGTACTGTGCTGCGGAAAGTGGGGTTTGCTGAGCCTACTCCCCCAGAGAACACCTTCATGGATAACTGAGAGCATATATTCATCTTGTGTGACACTAATTTTTTGGGCTGTCATAAGACTTTGGCTCAGTGGATATGTGAAATATTTTCCTACAGAGTCCTGTGAGGTATGATACTTTTGACAGTCTCTCACTGAGTATTCCAGCAGCTATGTGGGTACGTATCTCTTGCTGACGCGTGATCCAGCTAGTCTATCTGCGGCCTTGTAGCCGCAGCTTTATCTTAGGCTGTATTAATGTCTTTTTCAGATGCTAAAGATTAAGTATCAATGAGTAACCACAGTTTATTTTATTACCTTTACAAATGATCTTGTTGTGCTAATATAGTACCTTATTGTTAACAGTTGGGGGAAATTACCAATTAATTAATATGACAAGCATGACTTTGTTGGCATCAATAGAATTTTCTGTTTCTCATTGTGGAGTATTTGGTCTTTTCTGCGTAATTTGAACAGACCAGATCATGCCCTGAGTGCTGTGCGTTTCCAGCAGTCTTAGAAGGTGGCTGTAGGTGCTCTGTCTCTGTGGTCATGATATGCAAGTTGCACAATGACAGGCTTTTGGATCAAGTGATTTCAACAGGGAATCGTTTGTTTATTTCTGGACTTAGGAAAAACTGCAAATGACTAAATATTTTAGCTTGTTTTGGCAAAATTTGTGGGACCCTTGTTACTGTAACATTTAGGTACCTAACATCTGCTAGAGATTTGTCTTTTCAGACAAGGAACAACTAGCTGTATTCATGGAAAGTCTGTGACTCGTATCTACAGGATGTACTCCTAGACTGCTAGGATTGGGATTCTGACACACCTTCTGCTATCTGTGTTTTGTGTTATGCCATCATTAAAGATTATGCCATTCATGCCTGGAGTGAGTAGTATAATGTTCAAAGGAAGACAGGAAGAACTGACTAAAATACAACGAAAATGCTAAATTCCTGCTACGTGGAGGGTCAGAGTGCATGAAGTGACCCCTGAAGCACTGCAGCTTTGGAGGAAAATGATAACAGGGCTGGAAATCTGTAGTTTAAAACCCCACTAAAGGATTCATACAGGGAGTCATAGCTATTATTCTTGTCTACAGTATTTTCCACATTTATTCCAGGCCAAGAAAGAATTCCCACGGTTAGTTACATTACCTACTTTAGTCAGTTGTGTCAAGAAGTCGGTCCGGAATTTTTCAGTTCCTGTGAAAGAGAATTTTTCCTTTCACAGAATTAAATGGAACGCACCTCAAAATTTCTGCAAATAACTTTGTTTTTTCATACTAAGGGTCGTCCTATGACACTGGATCACTGTCTCCATCATTTCATCTCCTCTGAATCTGTAAAGGATGTTGTATGTGACAATTGCACTAAAGTATGTCATTTTAATTTTCTATAACCTAGCTCTGTTTCAAACCCACTGATTGATAATCATGGCTTCAGTGCTCTCCTTTCTCCTTTTCTCCTCTGTGACTTCAGGAGGCCTCTAGCCTGCCTGGGATTCCTTGTGTTTAAAGTGGGTTATTATCTCACAGAGTATTCTGAAGCTTTATTTATTCTTAATATTATAAAATTGATATTTTTTCCTGTACTTGCCAAGTATTATTTAGATAGTATTTGGGGGAGTTTTTTGTTCTGACATTTTAAACAGTATTTTACAGTTGCCTGTAATTTAATGATAGCCTAGAGCCAAAGTGGCTTGTTTCAAAGCCAACAGAAAGGGCTTAAGGGCTAAACTTAAATCTGGAATCTGGGTTTTTTTCTTTAAATGCTCATTTCTACTTGATTTTGCTTTTTAATTCTGATTCTGAAAAAAGTTGGTGGGAAATTGTAAATGTAATTAATGAACTGAGCATAGTTCTAGATAGTAAATCACTGTTTGCAGTGTGCAAACCTGCAGTATTGTACTCTGTAAGATGACAAAGCATGTAATCAAATGGCTGGAACTTTTTCCCTCTGATTTCAGATTCAGGCAGAAGGGACTTTGCATGGACAGAGCATAGAAAACCAGAGAACAACATTTGTTAAGCAATTAAAGCTAGGAAAGGTGAGGCAAGTTAACCTTCAAAATCAACTTTTAAATCCTATTAAACAGGAATTTCTTCCTTCAGTCTTTTTGCTTCATATCCACTTCTTGGTATTAAACTTCTTTTAATGTTTTACTTGAAAGAAGTGAGCTCATTTGTCAAATATCTGTAGGCACTGAGGCCTCAATTCAGCAAAGCACCAAAGTCTGTAGCTTAAAGAATGCCAGTATTCTACTGTTATTCAGCAAAGCACTCGAGCATGGTTCGGTTGCGGTTCATACGCAGTAATTTTTGATTTCTATGGTAAGTGAAGCGATACACATATATATCTGTTTGCACATTGTTTAGCAATTGCACATTTCAAAAAAATTAAAATATTCTGAATACAGCTGGTTTAAACAAGTGAATATGGTGTTACACAGCAGGTGCAATTTAGATTAGAAGCCGTTATTATGAGTCTCTCTTTGTTCTGTGATCCTATAATACAGTGGACAACAGGGCCCTGGTCTGTTATTAAGAGCCTCAGGTTAACCCTGATTGACAGAGGTTAACCCTGCTGTTACTTTTGAGTGTCAGCTACTTATAACTGTGTGACTTTTTTTCCCATGGCACTTTCACTGTGCAAAACTGTAGCTTATTAGGTATTGGCAAATGTCTTACAACAATTCACTCCAACTCATTCCGATCCTCTTTTCTACCTCACAGATCAACAAGCTAAATGAGATTGACAGATGGGTTGTTAAGGAACATGCATGTATTTTTACTGATTTTTCTCCCGTATGGAGAAAACTCTGTTAACATTAGCTATCCTACCATCTAGAGAGCAGTAGTAGGAGTATTAGAAATCGACTCCAAGTTCCTGTGTTTGTATCGTCTTTTAGAGATACTATTGCCAGTAAGCTTACATGCAGATAAAGCAGCACATGAGGAAACAGGTCAATGATTTATTTCCTCATCCACTAGGCTTCCCAGTTCCATTAGTACGCTTTTAACTTTAACAGCTATTTCTCTTCCTTTAAAATGTATTTTGACTTTCCTTTTCTTGCTGAAACTTGCTGAAGCTCCCTCAGTGTTTGTGTATCCATCTGCAAAGACTGAGCTGGTCAAACCAAGGCGCTCCTCTGAAACGTCACGAACATGTACAGTTCAATGAGTTCCTGATCATGGACATCTACAAATATCACATTCCTGTTCATAAATCAAGCCAGAATGATCTGAATCGGAAAAGCCCTGAAGAGACAACCTCTGAAACAAAGGATGGGATAGCAGTAAAACCTTCAGGTATTTAATTTGAAAATAAAATATACCAGGAATTTCTACATTTCACTGATAAACAAAACATTCTAGTCTGCAGCATCTTTGTTGGATGTGTGCAAACAGGACAGGTAGAGTCCTTTTTCTGGAAAGCATTGAGATACCCTGCTCCAGGTTTACAGTTCAACTGTTACCGTTTAATTAGATTTTGCTAAATATAAAAACAAAACAAACGAAACAGTGTAAAGCTGGCATGTTTTAGGTCCAAAGGATGAGTGCACGTTGAAGTCGGCAAGTCCTTCTAAAGATTATCTTGTTAGTAATCTCTTCTAAGGCTTCAGCACAAGCGCAGAAAGGATCCTGGGAATGGTAGCTTCTTAAATTATTACAGATAGATTTTCTAATTGTATGTCTTTCATTTAGACAACTCTATTTCATGTAGTGAGGATTCTGCAAACACGGCCATTTTCATATTTCTGACACGTAAAAACAACTACTGCTTTCTTTGGATATTATATTCCTCTGCATCTCTACAGCATTGTGATCTGTAATTAATTAAAATGCGTAAAGTACTCTCATATTCTCTGATGAAAGGTACTATAGAAACAGAATCACTGTTACTTGTAATACAAAAGCTAAATCACTGTCTACTTTCTTTGGCAGATGCAGAGCAGCCATGTAGCACTAAATCTCTCTTTATGAATGGGGCCTGCTCCCCTTCATTTTTAATGTCCTCGGCAACTTTTCCACTTGCTGCATTCCCTGAATGCAGGTAAGTTAGAGATTTGTACCTATGTTATCTGTCTCCACAAACTTTGTTTTCCTTTATTCTGTCTTTATCTTGAGGTTGTGTGGTCATAGAATTTAACGCGCATCCTAGGTCCTGAACAGAAATCATGTGCTCATCTCTTTGGCTGTCTTTGTGGTTGTCTGTGGCTCCGTTTCTCTCTTGCTAGAAAAGGGAGTAGAGCATGTTATAAGCAAAATTCGGAATCTCTTGGTTCATGTTGCAGCAGTCATCCTTCTGAATAGCCATTACCTTATTCTTGCTGTTCTTCTCTATCCCTCCTTTTCATTTTATCTTATTCCTCTTATTCTTACAGTTTTAAAAAATTATTACAAGAAATTCTAGTAGATTTCTTTTTTTTTTTTTTTCCAAATGTTATATTTAACAAGCTTAATTTCAGTTGGAGCTGCCGCAGTTTTACTTGTTGGTAAATCCTGCCTTGATGCTTCTCCATTTAAGAATGTTTACTCATTTTCATGCCTGTGACCGATATATAATACAGTTAGTTCTCTTGGAGAACTCTCTCATGGAGCCATCTATTTGTTCTAAAAAAAGCCCCTATAACTAAAGACAAAGCAACTGGGGCTTCTTCTGGTACATGTGCGATCCACAAGGATTATTGACCCCTTCCTTTTTTCTCATTTGCCCTTCAGTTCCCCTGTATACCTTTACCGTCTGATGGCAGTTGTAGTTCATCACGGAGACATGCATTCTGGACACTTTGTGACTTATCGCCGCTCTCCACCTTCTCCTAAGAACCCGCTCTCTGTCAGCAATCAGTGGCTATGGATTTCAGATGACACTGTTCGCAAAGCTAGTTTGCAGGAAGTCCTTTCTTCTAGTGCTTACTTGCTTTTTTACGAGCGTGTTCACTCGAGGGTACAGCACCAAAGTTTGCAGCTGAGGGCTGAAGAGTGACTAAGAGAGCTGAAGAAGGACAAAAACTGACAAAATCCCTCTAATGAGATCTATGTTGCACCTCCTGTCTGTTATGCAAATAACCCACCACAGGCCCTTTAACTTTCCCTTTCTTCTATGGCAATGGCTAGCTCCTCCTGGGAGTTGTTTCATACCAAAATGATGCTACCAAAAGTCGGTCCGCTAATGTTGTGCAGTCCAAAGCGTATCTGCATTAGAGAAGCATTTACTCTGTTTAGGTAGTATTTTGTCCGTATCACAGCTCTGAAACAGACATTTCAAACAGAGACTTGCCAAGGCCACGTTCCTTACCCTGATACATATGTAAGTTTTCAGATGGAGATGCTTAATCCTATACATTTCACTGCAGACTTTTCTGAACAGGTGAGCCCCAGAAGTGGTTGATAGGAAGCTACTGTTATCAAAGGCAATGGTTTTAAAAACAATAAAGTGCCTTGAGCTTATTTGAGCGGTTACGTCACCGTTGTCTGAGTCTGCTGCATGTCAGTTATATTCTGATAAATGCCTCTCAAGATGATGGGAAGAACTACTGACTGAATCAGATTTAATATCCTGGCTAATCAATAAAGCAAGGCATCTCTATGTAACATGCATGATCCAAAAAACTACTTTCCTATTTATGTTGTTTTCCTAATATTTCAGTTCTTTCTACGTCGTAGAAATACCTCTACTGATTCAAACTGCAGTTTTCTTTTTCCAGAAAAAAAAGATCTTTTTTATCAAAAGGTGAGAAGCTTGCTTTGTTGCTCTCTATCTGTGGAACTTAGGTGAAATTAAGAGACAGAAGCATTTGCTAGCAATCAGTATTGTAATTTCCTTTGTCACTGTGAAACTGTTGAATAATATTGCTTGTGGTATTGACCACACCTTTTAATGCTCTTACTTCGAGGCTACTATGATTGGTGTTCTAGACTTTCCCTTCCTATTTTAATGCTGAACACTGCCGTTTTTCATCATCCATTCAAATATATGCTGTCTGGCTTGCAATATAGCTTGTACTGGTTGTAATTGTGAGCTGAGATGTATAGCAACCCAAGCATCATTGTAAGTTAGAAGACACACAGTTGAATCAGGACTAGTAGGCACTTGTCTGGTGAAGTAGTCTGAAAAGACTGGTGTCTATTTATATGAAGGTCTGTGTAAGTTGTACTTTGCTGCTCTAGACTGTTTGAATAAAAAAACAGAAACCACGGAGGGACCAGAAGCAAAAATTACCCTTTTGACTGCTTCTGAATTATCAGGAATAAAGTATGTAGGCTATTTTTAGCTCTTTTCTATCCTTGTACCTTGGAGGCAAAAAGGATTTATTCTCAGACTAGCTTTTTCAGTGTAAAACAGCAACTAAGTTTTCAAATGGTAACAACTGTCTTAATAGTTTTTTAGAGCAACTTTGTACCTTCTGTATTCATATCACTGCCGCAAGCTCACAGGCATTCAGAGTTCTGTAATGGGAGGCTTGAAACCCACTAAAATAGGAATAGTAATGAATATATATGAAAACCTATATATTATACTTCACTCACATCATTCCAGAGCATGGATCACAATGCCTGCTCCAAGTAATGCTCACAGTATATAAAATAGTCTACATAAATCCACTGACATAATAGTTCCTGAGAAGCCTCTCCCTCTGTACTAGGGTAGCAGTAGCATGTTTTTAACCTTTCTACTTTAACTTATGGGAAAAATAACAAAAAGGCAAAAAAGCCCTAAAAGAATGCAAAATGCCAGAAACGTTCTGGACACATAACCAAGATCTAACAGTCTTGCAAAAGGTAAGAGAAGAGAAATTCCTCCATTCTGGATAGCAGAAGCGTGCAGTAGGAGCTCTGTAAAGCAGTGCTGGGTGTCACCTAAGGAAAAATATGCAAAGCACATCTAGCTCCAACAGTTCTACCATTTGTACCTCAGAACTTCAACAAAACATGTCCACTGCTAGCAGTATATATTCTGCAATACCTACTCTCAGTGCAGTCTGTTTAGAGGTTTTCCACTCTGTGACTCTTTGAAGTTCATGTGAACAGGTCACTTTGTTTAGAAAGCAGTAGTGCTGGAGGTGAGTCAGAACATACGCACACAACAGACTAACATGTCTTAAACTCATCAGCCTATAACAGTGACATGAAGTCACCTACTACCGCAACTTTGCATGCTGAACATTTTTCTTTTCCTTTTGCATAGAGCTGCTTTCCAGCAGGGGCCAGTTTGATGAGGATGAAAGCACAGTCACTGTAAGACATTGATAAACCGCTCTTTTTCAGAGATGAGGGTTGAGTAGAGAGCATTTGGTCTAGCTTTCACTGTAAGGAAGGAGTAGGTGGTCTTGGCTTAGCCCTCATTGTGAGGAAGGAAGCAAGTGTCAGCACCTTGGTCCTGGTCTATTTGCCACCTAACCCTCACCTTTTGAATTCAGTGGGCTCTGTGCAGGCACAGGAAGCTCATCGAATGCTGTATTTGTTACTCACAAGCTTCCATGGTGGAAGAGGTGTTAAAAAATGTAAAAGGTTATAAAACATCAGATATATGGGGAAACAGACCTCCAAGGTGACATCTCTGTATTTGGATTATTCTTGTGTTATTGTATGCATTATTTAAAAGGTTTATTAGAGTCAAACCACTGCACTGCCGTTTGAAGTTGTGTTTTCACTTCAGGGTATTTTTGTAATTGTACAGTAGCAATAAAAGAACAAACTTACTAGTAAAAGTAACTGTTTATGTCTGGTAGTATCTTTAAATAAATATCAAGCTATAAGCCAAACCACATATAGTATATCTGATAAAAGCAGCCCTCGTTCACATTATCTGGATAAGAAACATTCCTACAGGAGTTCTTCATGCTATATATAGCATTTGCTGGTACTGAGAGAGGATAGCAAGTCCCAGATTGTCTGAACAGACCTTAATTCCATGAAGTTATGCTGGGAGACAGCCCAGATAGATCTATCACTGAAGGCTGAAGCCAATCACTAACTAATTGAGATGCTTGTAGCCTGGTTCACGTTTTTGCTTACTACTTACGTTGCTCGATTCTTCAATATCTGTTGTTGACTTTGGAAGGTCTTTCCTCGTTTCAGTAGGATTCACTGTGAGCGTGGGAGGTAGTGGCCCTTCAGATGGTCAGAATGGAATCCCTAGGGATAATTATTTAGAAAAGAGCAGATACTCTCAGAAGTTACAGCCTTCCAACTTGTGCTGTCCGTACAAATTCTACAACCCCATCTTTCCCCATGATGTTATCTTACGCTCCCTGGCATCTATACAGCTGTAGGACCTTGAGAAGAGGCAGCCCTCTCCCTGCACTGTAGCACCAGCACCTCATGCTTCCTCCTGCCCCAGCACGCTACCGACCAAAATAACCCAGTCTCCCATGCAAGCGGAAGATGTAGAGCAGCAGTGAAATATATGCAGACAAAACTCATAGTCACTGTAAAATACATAGCCAGTCATGCTGCACTCACTATATCCATATCTCCCTACCCTTCTTTTTCATATCAGAGTCTTGTTTGTATTTTATTTTTAAAAAACAAACCACATTTTATTGACAGAGCATACAAGAACGTGTAATCTATTGAACAATATCAACTCTAAATGATTACACCTTTTTGTACTTTATAGTATTTATAAAGCACTTTGCAGCTATTTCAAGGATATACCAGATTTTGATCTTTTTGAAAAAATGGTTAGATTAAGATCAATTGAGAACAAAGTTCTTCCTGAGCCAAAGAAAACAAGGGTATCAGTCATCAAAAATAATCTGTATCGGCAGGGCTGTAGCAACGCTTTACTGAGAGAACAATAGTCTTGTCATTTAAGATGAGCAATTTATTTGTTAGCAAATTACCAAGCACACTATCCCCTCTTCTGGTTTAACTCCCTCATCCAAATACCTTGGATCATCTAAGATAGCGTTTGAAAGAGAAATCGACAATTATGTCAGAAAAGCGAGCTCTCATTTTCGAGGTCAAAACAGCAGGTGCTTGACTGCTAAATATTTCACTTTCTTGCTAGAGTCATCACTTTCCGAAATGTCAGGTTGATTCTTGGGGCAAGTACTCTCTTGCGGGTGGGCAGGCTGTGATACCAATACACATTGGTGGGATATTTCATCATCAGCAGACTACCATGAGCTAGCTGCAGTTTGATGGGCTTGATGTGACGTGTTGCATTTTTCCCTCTGGAATCACAATGCCGGAAAATAAAGTCCCTGCAAGCTCCAAACGACACAGATGCAATAGGACTGCGTGGAACCAGTTCTCTCTCATCATCTCGATGTTCACCTATGTGGTCCCAACCATCTTTATATCTGTAAATAGAGCACATTAGTTAGTTCTTCTAGCAATCCAATGAAATGAATGCCAAATGACTCCTCAGTGATCTCTCAGTAGTGTTGCACAAACAATTTTTCATTTGAACAAGAAGTTGCTGGATGCGATCAGAAATCAGACATACCTGTTAATAAGGACAAAATTAAAAGTATGTCCAGTGTGTAAAGCAACGTGGTCTCTGATACGGTTGAGAACTGGGATCCACGGCTTAGGGGAAAAGGTAACGCCTGAGTAAGTGTATGTTAACTCAGGATCTCCATAGGTCACCTGCTTCCTTGGAATGCTATGCCATTTGCCAAACACATGCAATTTTGTCAGCTCACCTGTTTCAATGAGAGAGGAGAGAGATCAAAACTAACTCTACGTTCCAGTTAGTGTCAGATATTTTATCTTAAATATCAGGGTATGACCAACAGCAATTAACGATCAATCACCTTCTGCCATTCACAACTGCAACATACTCCTCGATTTGGAGCTCCTACGAATTAAAATTACAGCGTGACAATAAAAACGGCACGTTGCTGCTCACACCCCAAAGCTGTCATCTGTGTTCAAGTGTTTCTGTCCCATCAAACTACTTAGCGCCCAAGTTCAGCGCCACCTTACAATCAAAGGGATAAACGGGACTAACGTAACACCTTTAGTTTTCCCCCATCATATCCTGTTGAAGGAACACGACTCGGAATAGGTAAAACACTGCTACGTCTACCGACAAACTCCTATCACTGTTTCAGGATTTCGCCAATTCTTTGAAAACGTTAAAACGTGGATGAACCTGCTTAGCGCACGTGCTTAAAGCTATATTAAACTACTTAAAAGCTATATAAAACTTATCTCTGCAGGATCAGACCTACGTTTGCTCACTGCTTCTCCAGGCCTCATCTGGCAAACACCGTGCACCGCCAGAAACCCCTCCTGCCCTCCGCCCACGCCGCTCAGGAGGGGCTTCAGGAGGTTTTTATTCCCGCCCTGCACCGGCGCAGCGCGGACAGCCGTTCCCTTCACCTTCGAAGTATTCCACCTCCTCTT